TATAAAAAGAATCAAACGAAAGAAAGAGGGGAGAAAATAATGAATAAACGAAACTTGAAACCAGATTTGAAAAAAAAAAAGAGAGAAAGAAAGAAAGGAAGAAAGAAAGAAAGAAAGAAAGAAAGAAAGAAAGAAAGAAAGAAAGGAAGGAAGGAAGAAAGAAAGGAGAATGAATTGAAAGCCAGAGAGTTCCAGCACTAGTTCCCAGTCTCCCTGGTGTGTCTTGTACCGTGTATGTCATGTGGGTCTGGTATATCATCATCCAACATGGCCAAGATGAGCACAGTTTGCTCGACTTCCGTCAAAATCATCTTATGATTCAGCATTTCTAGCCTTTTATGAACCACTTAAACCACCATGGGTAAAGAACATGACCTCCTTAATGCTGGAAAAACTGGAAATGTCTCTCAGATTGAAAAAATACTGGGCCATCGAGTCAAGAAGTCAGGCCTTCAAAGGTAATGTTTTGAAGTAGTAAACTATCTATGTAAATAGGGTGTGTGAAATGTTCGGATATCACTCTTTTATGACTTTATTAGTTAATAAACTGGATCTTGTTCCTCTCTAGTATCATGGGACGAAGTGTAAATCCTAATTTCCAAGACGAGATGGGTTACACACCTCTCCATTATGCCTCTCTTCATGGACATAGGTAAGTTATATGGTATTAATATTGTCACTGCACTCGAGGTATGTGAGTATTTATGCCTGTATATTATTATTATAATCAATAAAAAAGCCTGTTTCCTGGTTGATATGTTTGATAGGAAGTATTTATTGTACAGTACAAGGATTTTTTTACCATAAGGTAATTTGTAATTCAATACACCAGATAAAGGCGTAGAAGAACGATATGGTCTAAAACTGCACGAAAACTTCCCTCATTAATTTATGTTTCGGAATTCAGTTTGCCTATTGTGTGTGTTAAATTGGGGAATAATAGCCGTAACAGCAGAAGAGGAAGAGTTCATTGCGTTTTTAAAATGAATTTTTGATCATAAGTAATGTGCATACTGTCTGCAATTCCTAATACTGTCAATATTATAACGTTTATCTCTTAACCACAGTATATATGATATATCTTATCATTTTTCAACACCATATATACTCTACCTATTGAAGATCGCTATCCTAATCTAAATTAATAATTATTCTTTATTTTGTGTTTTATCACCATCAGACATCTACAGACATACATGATATACAACCTCTGCATAATTAGTACCAAATTTGTATCAATACACTATGCAAATTTACTTAATTTCAAGTACAATTGAATTGAATTGACATACGATCGTACTGAGGAATGCAACTATATCTGACTATAGTTTTCAAATATCCAAGACACCTTATCAATACTTCAAATTTTTTTTTCAAGATTTTTTCTAAAACTTTGCAGAAGAAAAATAAAGTCATTTGTCTCAGCATTAATGTTGTTATCATTATGTTGACATAGTAGTGTTGATTCTACAACCTAATCATCTACTTTTATTAGTTTTGAATGAGTTCATTTCAACGTACAAAAGTTTATTGTCAAGTGAAACTCTTTGCAATTTTGAGAATATCTTTTTATAAAAAGATATTGGAATTTGTTTCTTAATTTACTTGGGTAATTTCCTTATTTTTTTGCTTGCATTTTCCTGGTTAAAGTGAAAGAGATGCATTTCTAAATACAGCCATTCAATTTCCTATGGAATAAGGAGTATTGTAATTCTCCAATCAGAGATCATGTCCATTGTGTCTGTGTAGAGCTCTTGATGTGTATCTGCTGTAATATGCTAGAAACGTCAAATTATGACACTTTACTGACATGTCTGTTAAAACTCAAAAATTCATGAAAACATAAAAAGTAAATAACTATGCTGTTGGTAGTTTTGATGTGTGGTCAAAATTAGCATAACATTTTGCCATTCCTCTCCTCTTTTCTCTCCTCTTTTCTCTCCTCATTTATCTCCCCTTTTCTCTCCCCTTTTCTCTCCTCATTTTTCTCCTCTCCTGTCCTCTCCTCTCCTCTCCTCATTTATCTCTTCTCCTCTCCTCTCCTCTGCTCTTCCCTCCTTGCCTCTCCTTGCCTCTCCTTTCTTCTCCTCTCCTCACCTTTCCTCATTGATCACTCTCCCCTCTTCTTCCCAATCATTTTTTTGCTATTATTTATATTATTTATCTGTTTTAGATCTGCTGTTGAACTTTTATTAAAGTATGATGCTTCAGCACTTATTCCTGATCACTCAGGTTAGTTCAAACATGCTTGATATGGTTATGTCATCATTAAAAAAGACAATACTGAAACAATGCCAGATTATGATATCAGGAGCAAATCCAGAACACTTTGAAACACAATGAACAACTTACATGGTACAGCAAAAACAACATTCTTCATTAAAGTATCCTAAAGCACGAGGATGGATAGGGATAACTATACTAATATCCCCCTAAACCTACCCCTTGTATAGGAGAATACAGCTATACAATACTAATAAATTTTGCATGATCATTGTTGTTAGGATTAAGAGAATAGCTATACAATGACATAATTTATGTTCAAGAAGGTTTGAGTTTCAAATAGCTGCCCATAATTCACTTTGATACTCTTAAATGGCTTTCAGTCTATAAAGTTCTGTCAATCAACTCACTCTAAACCAATCACAAGCAAGAAAACCCTTTTTTCAGTTACAATGCTTTATGCCAAATCTTCCTAAAAGCCCTGTTCTCATTTTCCATGACTATGATCTGCTTTTCCCCAGGAAACTATCCTCTTCACTTGGCGGCATTTAATGGACATGCTGATGTGTGTAGAATATTAATCAATTCTGGACCATCAAGAGCTGATGTGAATGAGCAGGTGGGTAGACCCTGTTAAGGGACCAGTTATTATTTAAGTCGGAGGGGGAGGGGGTGAAGGAGAAAATGTGGGGCCCTCAAATTTTTTTAGTGGAACATGGGGGGCCATAAATGGTCAAAAGGAGGTTGGGAGGAATTTTTTAAACGATTGAAGGTGGTACCCAAAAAATATTAATGCTATTAGGTAGGGGTCTGAAAATTTTTTTTCATCGAAAACATGTTCTCCTCCTCTTTTTTAGAATGGTACAAAAGATACGGCAATGCATTCTGCTGCTCAGTCTAAGTCCTCTCAAGTTGTTGCAGTTTTGCTTGAGGTAACAGCACATTTGACCTTTATGAAGGTACGTATGATAAGCTATTATAGTTCTCTTAATAACTATATTGATAAATTATTTTTCAGAATCATGCTGATCCTTTTCTTAGAAATTGTCGCAAGGAGTCAGCTTTGGATTTGGCTGCTCAGTATGGGAGAATGGAAAATGTAAGTACTATAGCTACTGACAACATTCTATCAACACCTTATAAATACATTAAACAGGGATGAATCCTTGATTTTCTTAAATAGTTGGTTCGGCATTCAAGGGGACACTTAACTATGAAGAATGCCAAACCAAAACAAAAAAAGAACATTACTGCTTTATGAGTATATGGAGATATTTTGCATTAAATTACCTATATCTCAGCTGTTTTTCTCTCTATGGCTCTGCAATTCCACAAAATATCATAGTTTTACATGCAGTTTCTAATAATGTCAATGAATCCTAACTAAAGGTTCTGAAAAAAAATTTTTTTGGTTTTGTCTGATACTCTTCAGTACCCTATAAAAAATGTTGCTAATATTAGTCTAGAATGTTAGTCTAATGTTACTGGTGACTCAAGCCATTCCTGCACGTTTTTCTTTTACTCTAAAACCCAAATTCACAGATTCCAAATGCGTTTATCACTAAACTTTTTATTAGAAAATATATAAATAATTAGAATAAACTTGGTTTGTGTCTTTAAATGACAGGTTAAGCTTCTGCTTGATTATCACCCCAATCTACTGCAAGATCACATCAAAACTCACTCCCCTCTGCATCTGGCGGCAAGAAATGGACATATTGATGTTGTATCAAACCTTTTGGGCTGTGGAATGTCAGTCAATCATCAGGTATACCTTCTGAAGTCTAAAGAAATTTCATTATGAAGTCAAAAAGTTTGTAATTTAAAATTTGTTGCTAGAATAAATTTAAATGATGCAAAAGATTTGCCATGTAAGGACCGTCAGGGACATGTGTTTTCCATTTGGTTGTGGGGGGAAAGAGGTCACTCCCAACTAACCTCAACCTCAATTAACTTTCCTTACCCATCCTTTCCATTCCTATAAAGAGGCCCTTGTAGTTTTTTTTAGCCAGAGCAGTTGAACGTTGAAGAAATAGAAAACGCGCACGAGTGCTGTGTGCAGTAATAAAGCACGCTGGGGTTGGCAGAACACGAGAGAAGTGTTAGGAGAAACTCGACGCGTAGCGGACACTTCTCGAGTGTTCTGCTAATCCCCAAGTGCTTTATAATGGCACACAGCACAGCAAGCAAGTTTTTTATTTCTTTTATGAAATACAAATTACAATAACCGTTATTTTAGATAGGAATGACGCAATGGAAAGTGCGCGCACGTGCAATATGCTCTCATAAAGCACACGCTCCAAGCCAATCAGAACGCGACATTCATAACAGTTATTTTTCTGTTTTCTTTTGAGTAAAATATAATATACATGTCTAAAAAAAGCAGAAATATGGAAGGGTCAAGAATAAAAAAAATTTCACTTTACCACCATGTTTGCTTTGTTCTTTCGAGCTTCAAAAATGCTTAGGGCTGGCCATTTTGTCCACACGGCTTTGCACGCCACGTACGTTCACCTCTCGGCTGGGTGGGAAGAACCACTATTTGTTTACATTGTCAATATGTCTGAAGCATTGTCTTGTTGTTATTAGTGTGATACGGGAACTGCTCTTCATGAAGCTGCTTTATTTGGAAAACTGGATGTTTGTAACTTTTTACTACAGTGTGGTTAGTAATAGGTTTTGCAATCATAATCACCATTGCTGCGATCATCTTAATCATATATCATATTGTGTTATCAGATATTTAGGGGTTAGAGACTGATGTGAGTGTTTTGTTTACAAATACACCCATGAACTGACTGTACAATGAACAAGAAACTTACTAATACAACAGGAGGTGGAGCCAATTGTCGTCATTTTCATGCATCATCATCAGCAACAGCATATATCTCTACCATTGAAACATAATTTTTGCAATGTTTCATTTATGTACCATCATTATCTTATAAATCACCATTTCAATGATAATCATTATTGGAACATAACATAGTTATCATCCTTGCTACTTAGATGTGGACATTTCAGTCAAAGACAAAAACCAGATGACCGTAATGGATTTACTGATGAAACACCCCTCGTCAAAAACAAAAGAAATCAGCACTCTTATTTACAGTAAGTAGTTACTATAGCAACTGTTACCATAACAACTTTCTTTGTACATTATATTTACAGTAAGTGGTTACTATAGTAACTGTTACCATAGCAACTGGTATATTTTATTTCTTCAAAAGAAAGATACATTTTCAAGACTGTAGCTTCCTGATAAAAGATTTTTATCAATTATTATCGGTTATTTTTATTGACATTTTCAGAACATTCTCAATCCAAAACTCGTTCAAAGTCTTTTAAAGGATCCAGTAGTTCGCCTGATGTTCCCATCACACAAGTAAGTCATTTCTCAGACATCTTGTTCACTATTTACACTTTTTCTGATAAGTACCTTGATACTCCAAGTAATAGAATGCACTTCAGTTGATAGCATGTGACATCTAGTGTTTTGCAACCACTAGGGGCCAATAAAGAGATTATTCTGTCTCTTTTTCTAACCGTGTTACATGATTAATGTAGGGTAGCATGCCTTCTCGATCCAGCACCATGATTAACAGACAATCAAACTATGATGATATACCAAGCCCAAGACCTGTATCAGGTTAGCTCAGCCATCCATCCATCCATCCATCCATCCACCCATCCACCCATCCACCCATCCACCCATCCACCCATCCATCCATCCATCCATCCATCCATCCATTCAATCATTCACTCACTCACTCACTCACTCATTCATTCATTCATTTATTTTATTCCATCATTCATTCATTTCACATTTTGATTTCTGCACAGGCTTTAGAAGGTGTGGTACGTATGATTCTGTTCCAGCTCCCAAAACCAAACAGGAAATTATGGTAATAAGAAAGTAAAATATTATTGTCAATACCGCCTTGGTATCATCTCTCTTTCTTTATTGTTTTTATGCCACCAATAACAAAAAGTCAGTCAATAACTTCCTTTTCATCACTCAACTTTTCTTTTGTTTGTGTAGAGCCAGATGAGCTATGGTCTTGTTCCAAATCCACAGTCAAGGCCAGGTAAACCAGCCATCATTTATAGGTGTCATTTTCAAATTCTTAAGATTCTGCAGTATTTCTTGATTACAGACTTAATTCCCTTGTCACGGGGGTTTTCTCCTGGTTCTCTAGTTTTCCTCCCTCCATAAAAATCAACATGTGAGTTGAGTGTTGTATGTAGTAAATATAGACATAGTGGTAGCGTGTGTGGTGTGAACCTCGTGGAAGAGCCTGGTACAGATAGTGATGGTTGTGAATATAAATTTAAGTTTATTTATACAGAGTTAGTCTCATTTCATTATATTATATATTATTATATGACCGTGAATCTTAGAGCCTGGACACTAGCAAATCGAGCAATCTGATTGGATAGATCGCATTGCAGACTGGTCTCCGGTATTAACCGGTCCGATCGCATATTAATCTTACGGCGAAAACATTTTGTCCTTTTCAAAGAAAAGTGGTCATATAATAAAACTCTTACCAACCGAGCTTGGTCGGTCTGTACGGGATAATCTTGACCTCGGTCGGGTGCAGACCTTGGTCAAGATTATCCCTTACAGACCTCCCGCTCGGTTAATAAGATCTAAATATTCCATTATATTCTATATATATATTTTTTTATTCATTTTTTCTTTTATCTTGTAAGCGCATTGAGGCTTGAGAAATGCACAAGAACTCTTAATTAAATTAAATTGAATTAAATTTCAGCATCAAAATATTTACAAATACCAATGGCAATGGAAAGTAAAGAAAAAAAATCCATGGAACTTAACTGAACCAAATATTCTATTATTATACAAAATTAAGACTTTCCCTGACCAATAGACAAGTCAAAAATGTAGTATTAATCATTTTATGTTGGAATCCAGGTAATGAAACATCGTATGTAGAAAATGCAGACAGAGAAACCCCCTCCCAGCCAACCATCCAACCATCTGCAATGGAGGTATACTCTTACGTAGGCACACCAGCCCAACAACCAGTACTGCCCTCAAGTGTCCCAGCCCTAACACCTAGGAATGTCAAAGAAGGGTACGCAGTGCTTGGGATCCCTGTGGTGCCAGGAAGTCACTTCACTGGGTCACAACCTCTAACAGGAGAGGATTATACTGCTGTAAGATCTGAAGGGATTGCAGGTTCACCTGGTAAATCTGCCATGAAGGATAGTGGTGCAAGTAGACAAAAAATCCCCACTGGAGGTAGAGCAGGGGATCCGCTTCCTTTACAAGGTAATGTCTGTCTTAAAATATATATTGATTTGATAAAATTTGTTTGAATGGATGAAAAATGAAAAAAATGATAAATGTAATGTTCGATCTTAATGGTGGCTGCTATAATATATAGATATAGATGACAATGGTTATTTATACTAGAAAGCTGTCATTCTCCCTCAGTGAAAAAACACCATTGTGATAAAGGTCTATAGCCTGACAGTTTGGTCATTGCCTTCAATTTGACTGTGCCATACTTTAACTCTCTCAAAAACTTTTTTTTTAAAGCAATGGTAACCAAGGAAAACAAAGCATATTATCAGATTGAGCCACACACATCTGGAGATGAACCTCAATTCTCTGCCATGAACAGCAAAGACTATGAGGTAGTACCACGTGTCCCTCAGAGGCGAGACCTACAAATACCACTATACCAGACACCACCAACATTCAAACAACCACCACAACCACAACCAAAGCCGCCGCAGGGAGACGGTGATTATGGCTTTGTTGGGGAGGCTTTTTACAAAAAACCAGAAAAACCAGCAGTACAGGTTCAAGCTACTTCACCTATGAGTCCACCAGTGTATGAAATCCCACCTTCATTCAAGTCCAAACAGATATCCTCAGGGGATATCCCAGGATCGCAAGCCAAGACTTGCCCTCTGGATATACCTCAGTACGAGTTGGTAGGATTTAGAAAGACTCCCAGTGAAATGGGACCTGAGACATTACCCATGTCTGCACTCCCTGGCTATGAGCCCATGGGACCTGAAACACCAGAAAACCCATTTGGAGAATATGAAGTGTTTGCTCCCCGAACTGATGCTAGTGATTATGAGGTTTTACCAAGAGGAGCTATACTACAGCAGCAAGGGACATCCCAGCCATCCATCGCACAGTCCCCTCCTGTTTACGAAATAGCCCCTCCACCAAGACTGGCCCAAGAGGAGCCACAACCAACACCTTCTCCAAGCACATTGTCTCAAAATTCCCCAGTATACGAGATTGCACCACCGCCAAGACCCTGTGTGCCAACACCCCCACAAGATGTTGTCCCCATAGTTGAAAAGGGGTCAGTTGTACCTCCTAGACCACGCCCCTACAACCAGTACCAAGTGTGTACTGTTCAGCCAACAGTACAGGGTAGTAGTGAACCGCCCACCAAACAAGGCATGCCGGCTCCTTACGAACAAGTAAGATTAGAAGCTCCAAAAGGGAAACTAAACCTGGATCAGAAACCTGTTTTACCACCTAGAACATTTGAGGGGGATTACTGCACTTTAGATCCCAATGCTATGGGTCAAATAAATCCCCCACCATTACCCTCTAGGGATAATATTAGCTCTAGCTCTAGTTTAGGATCAGGTTCAGGGAGTGATTTGGCGGATACCCCAGGGGTACCCCCACCGTCACCCAGTATGGCTGCTAGTGCTGTGTTTGAGGCTTTAGAACCAAGACTTCAAAGCCCAGAGAAAAGAGCAGAAAAAACTGATGATAAGAAACCAGTTTCTGCTAAAAGGACACTAGAAAGACGACCAGTTCCAACACCAAGAAGAGATAGCTTGCATGATAAACCAAAATGGTATAGCCAAGAAGATCAGTCAAAAGAAACGGGGAAATTAACTCAGCTGGACAGAGAGGCGCAAGATCCATTCAGCTACCCACCAACCAATGAGAAAGAGAAAATAGAATCTCCACCAAGCCCAGAGAAGGCAACAACCTTTACCTCACTACACAAGATATATTCACCTTTTGGATCCAAAGAAAACTTAGTCGAAGAAAATGAAGAGAAAGAAATTAAGAAAGAGGAACATGAAGATAGTTCTCCATTGTTGTATGAGAATGTTCTTTTCAAAAGAAGCGACAGTACTGTTCGCAAGAGCATTAATAAGAAACCCGGTCTCCCGGCACAAGAAAATGGAGGTGGGACTAAGCCCGACTCTCAACCCAAGCCACAACTCAGCGATCTATTGGATACGTCTGATACAATGGATGAAGACGCAGAATGGGAAAAGGTAGGGAGGAAATCTATTTTTGTTTTAACATGACTTTCAATAGCATAAATTGATATATCATGTGTTCCAGTTAATGGATGAAAACCCTTGTTCAGGAGTGTGATAGTAGAATGACCTAAATGTGACCTACCAATAAAAGCATCACATTTCTTATTTTTAGATCGAGGCATTGCTGATGTCCATAAGTGAGATTGAGATGCCTGCTGACAGCCTGGAAAACCAGATTGCAGATGCAGGTTAGAAAAAGGATACATGGGGGTGGGGGTAGGGGAAATGGTCAGTGTTTCTTTTATGTGTCTGA